GAGTCCCACATCGGGCTCCCTGCTCAGTGGGGAGCCTGCTTCTCCCTCTCCCACTCCCCCTGCTTGTGTTCCTGCTCTCACTGTCTCTCTCTGTCAAATAAATAAATAAAATCTTTAAAAACAAAACAAAACAAACAACTGTGCTTAACATGCTGTACATTAGATCCTCAGAATTTACTCATCTTGTGAGTGAAAGTGTGTACCCCGACCGCCTTTCCATTTCCTCCAGTCCTTAGCTTCTGGCATTCTACTTTCTGTTTTTGTTTGTTTGTTTGTTTGTTTCAAGAATATCCATATATGTGATACCATTCACTATTTGCCTTTTCTGTGTGGTTTATCTGACTTAGCACAGTATTTTCTAGGTTCATGCATGTCGTGCAAGTGGCAGTGTTGTTTTCTACTTTATGGCTGAATATTCCTGCATTTGTGTGTGTACTTTAAACACTCAGGCACACTTACTGATGTTTCCATGTATTTGCTATTGTAAATAATACCTCAGCGGGTATGTGTGTGGAGATACTGATTTTGTTTCCTTGGGATACATACCTGGAAGTGGCAATGGTGGACCATATGGTAGGGATTTTTTTAATTTAAATTTTGTTAGTTAACATACCGTGCTTCTGGAGTAGAATTCTGTGGTTCATCACTGACACCCAACACCCGGTGCTCACCATAACAATGCCCCCTCTTTAATACCCATCACCCCAGTGCCCTCGTTAATACCCACCACGGTCTAGCCCACCACCCGCCTGCCTCCCTCCATCAACCCTCAGTTTGTTCTCTTTTGTTAAGTTTCACTTATGGCTTGTTTCCCTCTCTCCTTTTTTCTGTTCCCCCTTCCCATATGTTCATCTCTTTTCTTTCCTAAATTCCATATATGAGTGAGTGAGATCATATGGTATTTGTCTTTCTTTGACTTATTTCACTTAGCATAATATACTCCAGTTCCATCCACATAGTTGCAAATGGCAAAATTTCATTTGGGTTCTCTTATTTGGTTATTGCTGATGTTGCTGTAAACATTGGGGTGCATATACCCCTTTTTATCTGTATTTTTGTATCCTTTGGGTAAATACCTAGTAGTGCAATTGCTGGATCATAGAGTAGCTCTATTTTTAACTTTTTGAGGAACCTCCATAGTGTTCTCCAGAATGGCTGCACCAGTTTGCATTCCCACCAACAGTCCAAGAGTGTTCCCCTTTTTCCACATCCTCGCCAACACCTGTTGTTTCCTGTATTGTCTTTTTTGAACATTTTTTTTTAAAAAGATTTTATGTATTTGAGAGAGAGACAGATAGCGAGAGAGCAGGAGTGGGGAGAAGAGGGAGAAGCAGGCTCTCTGCTGAGCAGGGAGCCTCATGCAGGGCTCGATCCCAGGACCCTGAGATCATGATCTGAGCCGAAGGC